CCAGATCCGCAGAATGGATGTGACTTTCTTTTTCGCAACTTGCTTGTATTGTCAGGGAAGCCCAGAGGAACTCATTTTGTCCGAACTCGTCTGCCAAAGTATCCGTCCGGGAATAGACTAATTCCACGAACCGACGATGGAAATTATCATGACTACTTTGGCAGAGGAGGTTGGACGAGGTAACTTCATCTTTGTCTTTCTGACAGGACGATCAAGTCGTGAAATCGAGGACAGACCAATTCTGCGGATTTGTGGTTTGTTATGCATCTGGGCAGGCAGCATTAGAACCACATCTGATTAGTATCATTACTTGAAACGGACAGGAAGGTGAGTTTTTCTAGGACGGCACACACTCAACTCAGGCAGATGGAGGCAACATTAATTCATAGTTGTCTTATGGTAGGATCGACCTACGAATCTCTCTATCACAAACTATTACGTGAAATTAATGTCAACGTGACAACGATATTCCGAAAGCATTTTTCTAATTTTATATTTAATGATAACAACAGCTTTCTGGTGGCTGCCACCAAATGGGTACTAAATTGCATTTCATTAGCGTATCTAGTTTAATTCTTACTAAACTATTGTCAGTCCTCCAATAATTCCACACGAAGCTGCGATTTGAGATTTTCTACAAAAATGAGTCCTTCATATGCTCTGAAAAAAGGAGAATGTCTCGTGGACTGAGTCAAGCGGAATTTCGTTTTAAAGCCAAACTACGGAAGTTCAATGGAAATGTGTCGTCGTCTTCTGGTGGGAGCGAAATACAAACTATGATACGAAACGAAAGTCTCTCTAGCGCTGTGAGCATAAGCGATTTATCGTAACCCAATTACTCTTCGTATTTACAATTCAGTCGTTAAATGATAAAAGAAATCCACTTCATGTCGGTCCGCCGCATCTCAGAGCACCTCCATGCTAATGCTATTCTCTCTCCTCCCCTCAACCATTGCACAGCCTGGACGGGCCATTCTGAAGGACAATCGGGTCGCCTACTCTCCAGACCAGTCAAGAGCTCCAATCGCGTTCGGCCGTGCTCAGACCAGGCGATACAGCTTCCCGTTTATCATGTCGGGCATGGGAGCAGCGAAACCGACCACATGAGGTCGGCTGGGGACAAGCTGAGCGTGGCCAGTGACGGCGAGGCCGAATCCCATGCCTACACTCGGCAGGCGGATCGGCAGAATGTAAAAATGCAGCGGATTTCACGGCTTCCAGAGGCGCAGAGATCGTCGCGAGTGAGAGTCTGGGAGGCGGTGAAGACGACCTCACCCGAGCCGATGATCAGGGATCCAAGAAGCTATTGAACCGGCAGCATTTCAACAATTTGAGCGGACTTGGTGTAAGACAAAATGAAGCCAGGCAGATGATGGTTGATTGAGTATGGTCGACATTTTGCCGGAAACTATACTTTATGCCTGAACGCGTTTTTTTCAACATTTTTAGCCATCTACCCGACAGCCCTGACAGCCGTGCTGCCAACCTATTACCGCGAGGTTGGTCGGAATCCTTCACATAATTAAAGTGAAGGAAAAATTTATCAACAAACATTCGTGTGGCGTTAAGGCAACAGAAGAATATTCAGTGAAATTTTGGCAGGTTTGGGATAGTAACCCGCCAGCCATCAGAGTACACTTTTCGGTTTTGTAATATGAAAAAAATATGCACGACAAATAATAGAGACTTGCATTTTTGTCCTTTATATTAGGTTTATTTATGAAATTCAAATTACATTTACACATTCATTTTCGTTTGCTCGATTTCATCCTTATTTCCGAATGCATAATAGTTTGCAGGTGATTTGAAAGAAATGAAAGCTTTATGTTTGTGAAAATTGACCATGACAAAACAGATTTGGAAAACTACATCGAAATCTGTTTTGTATCAACTTTATAATATTTCACATGATTCGGATTTTTATAGTTTTTCCTTATACAACGCTTTGTTTAAAAATAATAAAATGTATAATTTATTCAGCTTGGCAAATCACTAACACTTACTATAATAACCAAAACTATTAGCTTAATTGTAGCTTCGAGTCTATATAACCTTTAAAATGCTAGTAAAGCATAGTCATTAGTCTTTTGATAGTGTATACTTATTAAATCTCCCATTACCCTCCACTACACCTTTTAACTCGAGAAGTTGTTTACTTGACATTTACATATCCTTGATTACATTCCACAATAAAACATTGGAAGTATGTTTTCGGCTCCAAAGAAAGGTTTCCATACTTTTTAATCTACATTGCATAAACCTCCACTGTTAACTTCTATATTGCGTTAGACCATCTTTATGTCTGAAGGAGGGAGGAAAGAGGGCCTGTCTGATGCATGAATTCAGCTTAGCAGGGTATATTGTATCGGACAGCTAAGGACACACATATTGGCTATATGAGGTTCGAAAATCATTTTTCTAATTTTCCATGAATAGGAAATAGCTATGAGAAGTAGTTTGCAAGAATACATGGGATTTAAAACTTAGATTAAAAAATAATAGAAGATATGAATA